GGAAGGAACCTCGGGAGAGAAGAGAAACGTTAGTATTTCGCTCTTCTTTGGTCAATTAAGGTGTTCTTTTCTTGTATTTGGACCTGAAATGTGTGTCTGATAATGCTANCCCCGACAAATGACCCCCTTGTCCAGACTGCGAAAAAATAAAACCTGAAAAAAAACGTGCACTCCTGTTCTCTTCATAATATCCAATTTCGTTGTTTTTTTTTTACAGGTTGTAAAAACAAGTGACCGCAACGGAAATATAAATTTTATCCTTTGCCCTTTCCCATTTATCTCATGTACGGGGCTGATATTGTGAACACATATGTGCGTGTATGTGCATGCAAGTGTGCGTGTATGTGCATGCAAGTATTCGTGTGCGTGTATAGATATGAGTAAGACTGAATTATTCATGTTTACATATTATATAATCCAATGAACATTTTTTTCGATGTTAAGATATTCACTGTATTATTATTGTCGCATATTTGCATAAATTGTGCATATATTTCGTAAGTGTGTGAAATTACGTAAATATAAGGCCTAGTGTTACAACTGCCTCCAAATATAATCCACTTCAAACACCATTCGCACATGATTATATAACATGTACCGGAGTACCCAGTAAACACGAATCGCAAAGAAACGTTTGTTAACGTTTCGCGATTAGTTGTAGTAATGGGTTCCGTTTCCTTCGACGTTTGACGTTTACGAGCTTTGTTTACATGTCATGGTCAGCTAAGTTTCAAATAAGAAGCTATCGTATAATGGAGATTAGACAAGCTAAATAAAATCTTTCTCTCTCCCAAATAGCAAGTGATACTATAAAATACTCTTTATATAATATATATTTTAATCTCTCTTTGATTTGTAATTATGGGACGATTGTGTATTTCGTATTTGGTAGAGGCTCTCAATTGGGTGCTCGCGCAACGTTTGAGAGCTCGCAGGTGAGCAATTGATTAGACTGGGAAGGAACCTCGGGAGAGAAGAGAAACGTTAGTATTTCGTGCTTCTTTGGTCAATTAAGGTGTTCTTTTCTTGTATTTGGACCCGAAATGTGTGTCTGATAATGTTAAGTTATGGCGTTTTTAACTGCAGTGTGTGAATTATGGAAGGATGGTTTAGTGTTGATGGAGTAGGGGGAAATGTGAGATTATTTCCATTATTTGAAAGCAATGGTTCAAGAAAACAGAGGATTTGGCAGATTAGTTACGTCTGATGTTCATCGTGAACTGAGGATTGCTCATTCATCATCTCTCTGACTTATTGGTTCGTGAGGGAATTGATATTAATTTGAATAATTTTGAAAACTATGATTCGTTATAGGAGATGCATATTATATGTCCAGTGTGGGCTAAGAAATAGAGTGACTTTGAGCAGGCAGAGCCATTACAGGTGTACTTCTTCAAACTATATTCAAGTTTCATGGATTCTTAACGTGTCTAAAGGTGTTACTTTAATATACAGAGCAATGTCTTAACCTTTCTTAGCTGCAACCCAAAATAGATTTATTTTTGGTGTGGTAACTCTAAGGGTAGAAACAATTTCAGTATTTCTGCAATAACCATCTCTATAAAGATAGCATCTGAATATAATTTTATTCATAATCAATTAAAATCTTGATATGTTGATTAATGGTAGGCAAATTACTGATCAAAAGCTATTCCTATACATACAGCTTATCATTTTTGTTTTAAAAATTTGCAGTTTCTTACCATTTTTAAACATTGCTCTACTTTCAGTATCAAAAAACTTTTCACCCAACAGCAGTTTGATTACAAATATAGTTGGCCATATCTATATCAAGACCTGTCAGGCAAGAAAATATGTTTCAATAGGTAGCTATGACACTGCTGTATGGGGAAGCCCTTCAAATTGTTGATTCTTTGTTTTTAAATCAGTTGTCGTCTGTATTGAACCCATAAAACAATATTAATAGCTATAAAAGACAATCAACAGTAAGTGAAGATAGTAATCAAAGATGTGAGTGTATCAAATATATACTCTCAATGATTCAAGCAGTCACCATGGCCTCTTTGCCTACAGCTCTCTTGGAAAAGGCCACTGAATCAAAACCAACTGTATTCTGCCAAGGTAGAATGTGGTACTTTGAGGTCAATTAGAAACTAGTCCATTTATGTGTTGCCAAGAATATATATTAGGAGGAGGTTTGGTTGTTTTTGGTAGAGTGCTTGGGCATGGACAGCACAGCAGTTTCAGGACTCGTTGACAATTGTGTATTTTTTTGCAGTTTTGTTTTCCTGCTTTGCTTTTTTGTCATTAGAATAGATAATATTTGTTAAATGATGAAAATTGAAGACTTATGTGTTCAAAAACATTGTCAGTGTCTGTAGAGGATGAGTTTTTAAGATGCCCAGCTTTCTATCATTAGCTTTGTAACAAAGTTATCAGCATTCTTTCAGACGCCTGCAAAACTCCAGCACCAATAATCAACCAAGTTGGGCTTGTTGACCTACCAGTCATTAATTGACAGGTATATATTCACATAAGGACTGCACCAAGATAGGCAAAATCTAAGGACGCTGTCTTTAAGAATGGAAAAACTGCGCAAAAGTACCGCACAGAGACTAGATCCACAGTGATTAGACTAGAGTTTGGGTCAGAGTTCCTGGCTAGGAAACTACAGCAATCAGGTAGGAGTCCAAGGGAAAAGGTCGCTTTAAGAAGGTTTTTCGGTTCATACGAAAACGTTTGTGGACTTCCTGGAGTGCCCTAAAGATTGTTAGCTGGAGTAATAGGGACATGGTCTCAGAGGGGTGTGGTCACATAGTAAACAATTTCCTATTGCCAAATAAGGAATTATTCCAAGCTTTATTTTGCCAGAATAGACATGAGGCTATCACAATAACTTTACAGTGTGCAACTGTCATTTTTGCCCTTCAGAATGTTCACCATCAATCATAGATAATAGCAAGTTACAGTGGATTAGGATAAAAAGCTTATATAATGAGAAAGGAGTCCCCTTTGAAAGCCATTGCAAATTTTTATCTGATAAACATATACCTCCATATGTATATATACAGGATATAAGAGTATACTTAAATTCATACCAATTCTAAGGTTCGATTTTAAAGATTTTATTAACTGCTTTATAGATTGCCATGATAGATGTGTCGGGTATATGTTTCTAGATGTATACTTACACTCATAAGAATTCTAAAGACGGCTTTTAAAGCTTATATTGAATCTTTTATACTGTGACATGGTTTATTCTCCCTTAAGATATTACACATCATAGTCTTTGATATGTTTTCTTATATTTGTTTAATTACCAAGATATACAACTTGTTACAGACTCAGAGATGGATCAGGAACGAGCTTGGATAAGAGGACGCTTGGCTTGGAGTAATGAGAGCTTGGCTACTCCATTGAGAGAAGGGGTCAGTCAGCCCCAGAGGCGAATGCACCACTCTGGTCCTCCTTCTCTCAAGTTCAAGCATAATAGGCCAGCTTGGGATGTAAGTCTATGAAGGGTCATAACTCCTTTATATGTGTGTTGAATATATGAATTTATAATTACTATATATATGTGTGTGTGTATACATATATATATATATGTGTGTGTGTGTGTGTGTGTGTGTATATATATATATATATATATATATATATATATGTATGTATGTATGTATGTATGTACATATGTATGTATAGGTATATATATATGAGTATAGCCACATATTTCTTTTTCTATACTTATGTATGGTCATAAATGTGTGTATGTGTTTCATCTCTGTAGATCTATTATATAGGATGATGTGTGTCAAGTATTATTTTTGTGTTTATATGGAAAGTACAATAAATCTGTGGGCCCTTTTAACCAATCTGAGAATATTGCAGGATAGCGTCCACGATCTAACTTCAATGAGACTAACACCGACTGAGCTAGCACGTAAGCTTGCATCACGACAGTCATCCAACTTGGTCCTGGCACGAGCCCAGTTGTTGGAGCAGAGCCGTCGGCCAGGGGTCCACAGCCCTAACCTTCCACCGTCTCTTGCTGCTAGACTCCAAGCTGCAAGGCAACAGGTGATTCTGTTTTTCGTTCTCTTTTATTTTAAAGAATATATATTTGGCTGTATTATTTTTATTATAGAGCACGATTATAAGATTTTAGTGCTTCATTTTTTAGACAGAAGTTTAAAGATCAATGTTTAGAGCAATTATAAATATTGGTCTTTAAATATTGATCTATAAATATAACTATGACATAGATAATGATGTTAGTATTTTCAATTCTTTATTTCTTATACACATGTAATTATGATTTATACAATTGCCATTGGCTACAACTATAGCACTGTATCATTAGGACAAGTGTTGGTGCAATAGCCTGCCCTAACATTAGCGCAATTTTTAAAACCTCAGAATTAGTGTCGCTCCTACAGGATTCCCACAACTGCATAGTGACTTAAACTATAGTGCTTTATACTAAATTCCTCATTCTAACCTAACCCAGCCTTACTTGATTTAGAATAACAACATATCAGCATTAACCGCTTTTATAGATGTGCCATAGTATAAGGCTTTCAGACAGAGCTACAGTATATACCACAGAGCTTGCAAACTTCATATGGGATCTAGTCAGTGTCAAGGTACTTAAAAAGATATGTAGCACCACTACCATTTAGTCTGTTGTACCCAAACTCGAAATTGACTTGTATTATAGAGTAGTCTGACAGCTTTTTGTGGTATGGAACATCTCCTTACCCTATATGAAGGAACAGAATTTTTGTTTTACTTGTGATGATTATAACAAAATCAAATAAGTTTTGTTAAGCTTTATGGTATGGACACACTAAGCTAGGACAAATTGAAGATAGTATTCTTGTAAAGGACAAAAGGTTGTAATCGTTCTTGCATGAAATGATCTGTAGACATGAACATTAATGCCACAAATGATAGTAAATGGTTGCAGAAAGTCCACTCAGTGCTCTTGAGTTTCAGCTCAGTCTTGCTGTGCACACTGAAGTGAAGACAATGTTTCCTTGGGGTTGTTGAGGGACAGAGCCCCCCCCATCAACCCTTTGCTCAGGCAGTGCCCAAAGGGCACACCCAGTCATGGCAACTTAGATTGTTGAATAAATTTTGTGGCATGGAGTTTGGGACTTTGTCTCTGGCAAGAACATCCATACTGTAAAGAATTACCATAAATAGTACAAATGTTTATTTATCAAGCCATTTCTGGCATCTTAGCACATCTTCATTGGCTAAATGTGATGACATTATTTAGCTCCTCCCCTTTTTCACACATTTGTGAGTCTGTATGATATAGTATGATAAGTGGTCTCTCAATGTATTTCCTTTGAAAATGATTCACAAATGACAGTGGTTAAATAGGATAATAAAAGACAGAAAAATAAAGAAAATTATGAGTATTTGCAGTAAATGATGGCCTGCTAGGATTTTCATTGGGTGGTTCTACAGGTATTAGGCCTATATGTACCTTGGTCTGTATATTTTTAAATATACAAATTTTATTCATGAACTTTAAAGGCATTAGTTCTCATGCAGTAATGGTTATAGGAGAAGCTGCTGTCAGTGTTTATTATTAAGAGATTTCTTTTTTTTTTTTTTTTTTGTTTAGAGTGTTGAGTCCATCTTAGCACAGTCTAGCGCTACTCTTCTGACCTCACAGAAAGTGCGACAAGCTGAATCAAAGTCACTGCACGATTTAGACTTGAGGCGCAATCAGGAACCTGGTATGGGCTTTGAAGAATTTTGTCACAGTTTTAAAATATGTAATGAAATAAATATAAAGAGACAAAGAAAGAGTTAAAACACTGTTGATATTGATTCTGACTAAAATAGGAAAATAGTGATGATATATAACTATTTCAGATGGAGCAGAAGACCCAGGCCAAGCCAGCAGTCACATGCAAAATGAAAAGTCAAGAAGGACGCCCCCCGTAGACCACCAGTCGGACAAAACGGAGAGTAAGCTGAAACTCTTGACTGAGAGCATGAAGGAAAACAGTTATAACTATTCAGTGCCAAAGGGAGCCAAAGAAAAAGAGGGAACGGCACATGGAGCAACAGCCGCACCCAGGCCAGGATTGGATGATAAGAGAACAATTGATCTGACACACGGAGCTTCAACACGAACAAGCCTTGACCACACAATTACAGTGAGTTTGTGTAGTATAGCTAGTGATATTGTTCTTGTTTTAATTTACTAAGTGGTGCTGAGACAGCAGAAATGCATACCATATCCACTGTGTTTTTATTTGTTTATTAATTGATTTTACATATAGATGGCTCCATAAGTGCTTAATCATCAGGGAGTTGGTTGATATTCGTGCCTACCTTACCGATTTACCCATTTCCTTGATTTTTAGAAAGATTCTTTTCTATTTTTTTTATTGTTATTAGTATTCTTAGTAGTAATGTAATAATTATAATGTCAGTAGTAATAATAACAACATTGATTTTAATAGCATTAGGGAAAAACAACATTTTCCCTAAACTCTCAAGGAAAAAGGAAATCAGATGAGGTTACGTAGGACTGCAAATTGGCTCTTTGGTGTTTTTGCACTTGTATAGATGTCTATGTTTACACAATATTAACAAAAGAGAATTACAGTTGACAGTGTGATTACCCGGCAGCAATGTGTTAATAGTAGTTAGAAGTAGAAGTGGTATTATTGTTGTTTTTGTTTATTTCATAGATTTCTTTTTAGTTTTACAATTACCTTCATATGATGTGTCCTATTTTATCACATTTGACCTATTTTCTTCATCTTATCCTCCCTCTTTGTCCTTTCTTTCATTCGTTTCTGACCCCATTATTCTTCATCCTGTATATATTATTGTAAGACCTTATTCTTAATTATCATATTCTTCTGCTTTTTCTTTCTTGCTTTTTCTTTGTCTTGATTTTTTTCTCTGTCTTCATTTTCTTCTTTTCCCTTTTATGCAGTGTTACGATTTTCAGATGGTGGTGAACACGTGCCGTGAGCTGTGGCAGCAGCTGGAGGAGGAACGCCTTACAAGGGAGCGCTTAACACAACAGCTACAGCAGCAGGGAAATGTCATCACAACCTTGACAACTGTAAGGATAATTTTGATAATTTGTAGTTCTCCCTGTCTGTGTTTGTCTATTTGTTTTTGTCTCATTATCTGCCTGTTTCTCTCATTGTTTTTTTTTTATCTGTATGTTAGTTTTTCCCTCTGTCTCTCTTCCTCTCTTTCTGTTTGTCAATCTTTTTCCGTGAAAGTCTGTCTCTCTTTTATAATGTTTTTGTTTTTTCCTCTCTCTATCAGTCTTTGTCTGTGGCTTCTGGTCTTTACGTCTTTCTCTTTGTTTGTCTGCTAGTATATCTCTGTCTTTCTCGCTTTCCATTTTTTATATATTTATTGTCGTTCCATTTTTGTTTAATTTATCTGTTTTATCTTTCTTCTTTTAATTTCTTTCATTTCCCATCCATGGTTTCCCCTTATATAAACTATAAATACAGAAGAGGACTAAAACAGATAACTGAAAATTCTTCAGAAAATTTAATTGATGACCTGCATGCTTTGATTATTGTATTTGTTGTTTCTTGAAGTTTTACATCCTCAGTAAGTGATAAAACTAGTAGTAGTATAGTAGTAATTTCTCTTAAAGCAAATATACAATCCCTTGTCACAGGAACTGCTGCAGATACAAGAGCAACAGGAGTCAATTCTTCGGGAGGTTAGTGATGCTCGAGCCTCGGGTCTCTGGGGATTTGAGGGTGACCTCAGTGGGGGGAGCAGTGGCAGTACTGAAGGCGATGATATTGGCAGCAGCCATTCCCTCAGCGGAAAGGTGGTGGGAGGCCGCCCCAGTCCACAGACTGTCAGCAGTCGACACCCTCAGCGATCCATTCTGCGAGCTACCAGAACCATCCACACGCCTCACCTACGCCAGCAGTCCCCCATGTACTCGACCATGCAACATTCATCAAGAAGTCACCAGTCAAGTCCCCTCATGGGACTGTCACACCAAGCCCCACACTCCCCACGACCCCACCAGGCTTCTCCGAGACCCCACCGTTCCCCCTCACCTCAGTCAACCCTCTCCATTGATCGCTCTGAGTCATGGAGTCACATAGGATACAGAAGTTCAGTATCAAGGCAAATCAGGGATGCGCTCACCAACAGCCAAAACATAACTCCTAAGTCCGAGATTGGCAAATCTCACATGAGCTTTAGCAAAGTGTCTGATGATGGTACTCTGGGCAGCAAGCAGCTAGAAAAGGAGAAGAAACACACAGGAGAAAGGCAGTCAATTCCAGTCTCCAATAAAGAGAATGATGCCCAGTCAGCTTTAGAAGCAAATGCTATGGATTCCACCATATCTGACTTAGCAGACAAGAAGTAAAAAGGAGCTTGCAAAATCTTCAGCTTGAATTTTTGCTTGCAATACATCATGTTGATTTGAAATGTTCATACCTATTTATGTGAGATTGGTTATCTCAACACACAGCGCACACCAGAACACATGCACATGTACACAAGCACACACTCGTGTTCTCTCTGTCTCTATCTTTTTTTATCACTTTCTCTTTCTCTCATCCTCACTCATCTCACTCTCTGTCATGCTCACTCTATCATACACTCTTTCATCCTTTCTTTTTCTCCCCCTTTTCCCTCTCTACATCTCTCCCTCTACCTCTACCCTTATCTCTTTCTCTCTCTCTCTCCATCCCTCTCCTTCTCTTTCACACTCTTTCTCTTCCTCCCTTCTCGACACAACTCTACATTTAAAAACACATCTCATTCATAGCAGAGATTTTAAATATTATTACTGCAATATTTGAAAAAAAGTCTAGGTAAACCTCAAGCCTTATAATTAAGCATTGTAAGTGTAATCTAATTCCCTGATGATTACTACCGTTTGCTGGTCATTGTTGGGAACAATTTAATTCATAATACAGCCTGTAAGCTTGCAAAAGCCTATTGGGTCCTCTCAGTCATAATCATTACCTTTAGTACCAGTTTCAGGTACATAGAGATAGAAAAGTCTGGATTCTTCTTCAAAGGCTATGTCATATTTCCTTCTTCTATTCCCTGTTTCTTTGGTAATAGCCTAACCACTGCATGACCCCCATATATTGTAGTTCTTGAAGTCAGATGTTAATAACGACCCTTTCTCGTGAACTGTTTTCTGTGTAATTCCCAGACAAGTGAGATATCATTATCCATATCACGTTTGCATATCATAGCCCACAATTATCATCAATCACAATATTTAGATGGATATTGGGACCACAGGTTTGGAATTTGGTAGTTTCGTGTGTTCTGTTTTAATGTGTGTCTGTGGATGTAAGGCAGCTGTGTGTCAGTCTCGTAACTTTTATGCATAAGAATTTTTTAAAGGCTGGATCAGATTTTGGTATAAATGTTTGTGTACAAAAATTGTTGAGTGCTTTGGAGTTTAGATTAAGAAGTTGAGAATTAAGACATTTTTAAAGCATAGGAGTGCAGTATCACTGATACCAGGGAGTACAGCAGAACTTGATCAGCATTTCAGATGATTTAATGGATAGATATATTTACCATACAAGTACACAAAGTAAGTTAAGCACGTTCATTAGGCAGTAGCTTTTGCAGATTGTTGACTTCTTGAATGGAACTTGACATTTTCTTCTTTACTGATTGTATCAGGCATTTATGATATCAGGTTATAATCTTAAAATATGGACATAAAATGTTATTTTATTGTTTGTTAGTTATTTAATTTGGATAGCAATAAGTTTTATTTTTATGATATATCCTGTGGATATTCTTATCAAAGGTATGTTCTACAGATAGGCCTTTGCTTTTGATATGTTTTTACTTATCTTATTATTAAAAAGACCAAAGTGACACTAGAAGGAAACAACGATATTTCAGGAACAAAATTTCTAAACAAAAGTTTGTAGATTGTATAAGGGCCAGTCTTTATTTATTATGCTGAACATTGTCTCACAGATTAATGTTCTTGCAACACTTGTTATGGAGCCTACATCTGTAGGGTTCGTTACATATCAAAGAATGCATTTCAACAGAAATTTTGAACTGCAAAGGCCTTCAATGAATGATGATATAATGAAGATCAGCTAAGAATGTGCTTGATGCAATAAGCTTAATACAAAACTTTTATGATCACTGATAAGCAACCATCTTTACCTGCCAGTAGAAAAGAGTAACAGAGCTTATTCACCTCTTCAAAGTATTTTTGTGACTTTTACCCTCTTAAAACTTGTACAATATAAAGCAATTTGAGAATGCTTAAAAGTCCTATCACAGCAGTATTATACAATGCATGCTTTGATACATTTTTTTGGATGACTGCAAATCATGCCTTGTCTCCACTTACTTTTACAGTCTGTCAAAAGATTGCAATTACCAGCAACTGCAACTTTCAGCAACTTCTTTGTCTGCATGGCAAAAAAAGTGTCATGTCTTCTAACTGAATTTATTTGTCCTAACCATTAACCGTTCTAACTAACTTACAGTTGTTGATCATGTATCGTAATCTACACAAGCTTACAGTAACTTAATCATCATCTTACTCTCTTGCACTAGCTGTGAAAAAGGTGACATCCTGAACCACATTTCCTGGTGTAAGGATTCATTTCAGCCTCTAGTTGCCAGCAGATCTTGTTGGCACTTAGCAATAATTTTTTTGTTTCTAATCAAACTTACATGCTTTGTGAAAGCAGGTTAAGGGGCTATACCATGGAGATCAGCTTGTAGATCTGTGAATTAGGCACCATTTCATCTCAGCAATAATATATACTTGTTTTGCATAATATATTAGCTATTAATTTTGTATTTCATTCATGTCCATCCAGACTCCTGCCAGAGTTAGTGGTTCATATAACTAACTTTAAGAGAGCCTTTAATGTAGATGGGATTTGAGAAAGCATAACAAGTGCCTAAAATGCAGTTTGCTTGTTGGCTCACAAGTTCATCTCCTGGTTATAGCAAAGTTGTTGAGCACAGTGTAGAGTTTCACTTCTACTTGCATAATGTTGAGCACGTAGATAGTTTCATTCCCATGTTGGTAATTCTTATAATGTGCACACCTAGGATTTGTTGTATGAATGTTATGGTTGTTAATGCATTACACTGAAAAGCTTTGTTTTAATGTGAGTAAAAAATGAGTTATGTGTTAAAAGGTATATTAGCTTGAAATTATGGTACTGGTGCTTTAACTTGTACAGATCGTATAGTGTTTTAATTTCTTTTATGTTTTGCCCATAATGATGAGCTTTAGATGTTATCTTGTTGTTCTCCCAAATGTTCTTTCACTGTTCTTTCTCTTCTCTAAGCTTATATTGTTTTTAGACAAGTGAAATGAATCTTTTTATAGCTGCTGTATTTAAATGGATTTAATATTGATTGTGTAGTCATGACTTAGAATAAACAGCTGTCTTTATTATTATAGGTGTATTGTTAATCATATTGCTGTACTGCTTGAGACCAAAGTGTTCTGTTGTGTGTTATGCCTTAAATACAATGATTAAAGACAACTAACCACCTTTTTTGATATTGATAGTATGAATCAGAAGCAGTCAATCGACCTCCCATCTCACGTCATGTAAAAGTGTGATAATACATGACATGAAATTCACCGTAGCTCTCGGTATGCCTTTGGAATTTGGTGAAGGTTGTTCCTAATGCCACTTGTATGTACCAGACATCAAATGAGAAAAACTAAATATGCTTGTTTTTATTATTAACCAATGGATTGAAGTCTTTGTTACATTACAAAAAAGGGATTATTGCATTTATTAGTGTCATTTTATATCAGTTTCCCACTTAAGTTAACAGCTAACACGGTTGACAAATAAAGCATTAATGCAGTTGTATCACTACACAGCAGTTGATGTTGTGAAATGTATTGTTCCAAGCAGGCCCATTGTTTTCATGTGGTGAGGCCTGTGCAGGTCATACATTTCATTTACATATTTTTACTTGTGTATACTTATCCTTCTTTTATATTGATGGCTACCTACTGACTGATTTTTCTTTTCTTACTTACCAATGAATCATTGATACATGGCCAAATGTGGATGTTTGGAAAGTTATAATATTCTTGTATGGGTCATTTTGTATTTTGACAGTAGATTTTATGAGTAGTTGTGGTTTGTAGAGAGACAAGTTCTTCCAAGTGATATTTGTATCTCAATAAAACTCAAAAGGAGTGGTCCAGATTTTAGTAGCCTGGAGCAGTTTCCATACAGATATTATAGGGAATTGGTAAAGTTTTTTCTTTGGTTGATTTTTATCTTGATTTTGCAATAAGGAAATGGTTCAATTTTTTTTTTCTTTCTTTTTCTTCCTTTTCTTTTCAATACAAGTCCGGTAAAGTCGTTTTTTTGTCAGATATTCTGACATAGTCTTAGTCTTCAAATATCTCTCTCTCTCTCTCTCTCTCTCTCTC